ATTGGACTGAGAATGCCAAGAAGGATTCAGTGAGAATCTCTTGTGAAGAACCAGCCACTGAAGTCGAAATAGAAGTTCGACAGGAACCAGTTGCAGATGAAGCAGGTTCAAGCAGACCTCGACGAACAAGACATATGCCTGCAAGGTTGCAAGAATGTGTAATTACATCAGATGATGTAGTCGATGAAGAGGGTGAGTTGGTACATTATTCTTTCTACGCAGATGTCGAACCAGTCAATGCAGCTGAGGCATTGAAATATTCGAAGTGGATGAAAGCAATGATTGAAGAGTTGGAGTCCATCAAACCAGTCAATGCAGCTGAGCCCAGATTACAACTGTTGAAGGATTCATATGAAGATGATGTCGACCCAATCCAATACAGAAGACTTATTGGGTCACTTAGATACCTTTGTCACACAAGACCTGACTTAGCATACAGTGTTGGTATGGTAAGTAGATTCATGCAGAAGTCAAAGGTATCACGCCTAGCAGCGGCGAAGAGGATACTAAGGTATCTAAAAGGAATTCTCGACTATGGCATTTTATTTCCAGCATCTGATGAAGGAAAAGAATGCAAGTTAGTGGGATACACAGACTCCAGTTGGTGTAGTGATGCTGAGGATCGAAAATCCACAGCTGGGTATGTGTTTATGTTAGGTGGTGCACCCGTTGCTTGGAATTCGAGAAAGGAATCAGTAGTGGCATTGTCATCATGCGAAGCAGAATATATAGCTGCTTCCCTTTGTGCATGTCAAGTAACTTGGATGGTGAACTTGGTCGAAGAAATCACAGGGAAGAACCATGGAGCAATTACCATGAAGATAGACAGCATGTCAGCTATCAACTTGGCAAAGAATCCAATAGCTCATGGTCGAAGCAAGCACATCGAAATGAGGTTCCATTAACTCCGAGAGCGGGTAGCAGAAGGGAAGATGAAGTTGGAACACTGCAGAACTAAGAATCAGATTGCAGATATCATGACGAAGGGAGTGCAGGTCGAAGCCTTCAGAAGACTAAGGGCCATGATGAATGTAGACAGTTTAGACACAATGAATTAGGTGGTGTGTTAAATATAATTCATTGTGATTTGATATGATTAGATTTGATATCATATGATTAGATTTGATATCATATGATTAATTTGATATGATATGATTAGATATCATATGATTAGATTTGATATCATATGATTAGATTTGATTTAGAATATTTTGGGCCTTTTATGTTTTGGGCTAGTGTAAACCTAAAACTATAAATAGGGTGTTTTGCTTTGTATTCTACATCACAACAGAACAGATTTCACAGTTGCAGTTAGCAAGTGAAAGTTCAATAAGAAATCCCACAGTTGTGGGTAACACATTCTCTCCAAATACTTCTTCTCTCATTCTTCTCTTTCTTGTTTGTTATTCTTCTTCTCTTTTGTTGTTCTTGATAATTACTTGTTATTACCATCATTATCATATTGTGGGTTTGTTCATCAATCTTGAGATCAAGATTGAAGAGAATTCTTCATAGGGTGTGAGGTGAATTTCCAACATTGTCTAGAGAATTTATTTAAGAGAAAGGTGATTGTGGATCTTAGATTGATCATATATATCTTATTTGTGGTGTTTTTGTCGAATCGGCTTCTTATTTGTTTGCCACTTGTGACTTATGTAGTAGTGTTTGGTATAAAATTTTCAGATTGTTGGAGTAATAAATAATTTTTATTAGAGATCCTAGTTTTTTTTTAAGAGTTTTCTTTCTTTAAATGGCAGAGTGAAGTTTAAGAATTTTTTTTTATATTATAATAAGGGACGGATTTAGAAATCTTGATCAGTGGGGGCAAAATATATATACTATTATAAATATTTATATGAAAAATATATCAATTCGAAATTATATATCATTGTATAAAAAAAGTTAAAACTATCAAAATTTTATTATTCTATATTAAAAAAAATCAAAGATACTTAAACATATAAAATTTTTTTATAAATAATTCTATTTTGAAATTATTGAATAATTTTTCTTTTGTTTTTATTTTTAATATCTAACAAAACAACCGTTTAATTTTTTAGTGGGGGCACTTATTGTGTTTTATCATGTGAAAAATAAATATTTTAAATTAATTTATAATAGCACAAGTAATCTAGTGGGGGTATTTTCCCCCAATGCATGTAGATCCGTGTTTGATTGTAATATGTGTTGATTTGATCCATTGTGAGTGCTCAAAATGAGATTGTATTTTTTATTTCTTCAACAAATATGAAAGATATAAAGGAGAATATATATATATATATATATATATATATATATATATATATATATATATATATATATATATATATATATATATATATATATATATATATATATATATATATATATATATATATATATATATATATATATATATATATATATATATATCGATGGAGAATTCTTGCACCTTCATATAATGACTTCAGAACCCTATACTTTGGATTGACCAATAGAGCATCAAGATTATAATGAAAGTAAGAGTGTGTGTTCTTTCTTTTCTCAGTGGTTTTTGCTCGAGTGTTGATGGTCCAGCTGACTTTATCTCTAATTTGATCCTTCATTAGTTGTAGATTTTGGTACATCTTATGTCACATGGTATGTGTATTTGTACTTTGTTTTAGGCTATTTATCCTTTATTATTAATATATTAGATTTTGGTACATCTTATGTCTAAATAACAACAACAACCAAGTTTTATTCCATTAAGTGTGGTGGGTTACTTTCGCCATAATATTATATATAGGGCTTGACTTATATCAAAATCTTCAATCTCAATATTTTTTTAAAATTTTTTAGAATACTTTTTTGAGACATTCCTCTAACTCTAGTTGTTTGACTTTTTCTTATCTAAATTATTCTCCTTAGTACATGATCTACGAATCTTCTCTCTAAATACCCAAATAACTATTTCTGTTTTTTACAATCTTTTCTACTATAAGTGTTATTCCAATGCTCTCTAATACTTTCATTTCTAAATTTATCATGTCTAATTTTACCACACATTTAACGGAACATCATCACCTCTGTTATACTTACTTTATTCTCAAATAAAATATTTTGGTAACATAAATTATTGGAGGTTGTTAAATGGAGGACAAATTAAAGTCAGAACAAATTAGATACTTAAACTTGAAACCTTAAAAAGAGCATAGTTTTAAGAAAAACACTAAGCAATATTCAAACATGAGATTTCCATAAGAGTTCACTTATGAAGTATCACTACTACAAAATATATATTTTCTAACATGTTATTACCTCAAATATTCAATCAATCAAAGTAGTAGGTGATATTTAGGTGTCTGCATTTTTTTATATTTTATTTAAAGACTTTTCACTATGGTCCTTAATAACAATCGTGGTGAAAAGTCAGAAGGCGTCAACTTTAACCACAATTGAAATTTTGACTGTGGTGAAAAATGATATTTGGTCATGGTTTCAAATCTCAGCATTAGCATTTTTGGTTTTTTTTTACTTATTTTTAAGCTGCTTTTCACCACAATTTGAATTTCAACCATGTTAAAAAGTGACGTCTAGTCATGGGTTTGAAACACAACACTAACATTTCTGATTTTTTTTTTAAACTTATTTTTAAGTCACTTTTCACCACAGTTGGAATTTCAACAGTGGGAAAAGTGACGCCTATTTTTTAAAAAGATATATAAATTAGCTTTTAGTTCATTAACTTCCCTAGATATACTTAGACAAACTTTATCTTTTGCCTCTAAACTTCTTTCATTTACGAAATATTATTTTTCTATTATACCAAACTTGAAAACATCATTTCTTACATAAACGAAACTCAAAAATATTTCTTCCATTAACGATTTTCGAAACTCCATCATCTCTTCAAATTGAGCGAGACATGAAAAGCATGAATTCAACTTAACGACGTTAGTTGCTATTATTGTGTCAGATAAAGTATTCTTGTTTAACAATTCTATTTATTTATTTTGTTGTTGTTGTTGTTTTTTTTCTTGGTCTTTCTCTTCTTCTTCTTCTTCTTCTTCTTCTTCTTCTTCTTCTTCTTCTTCTTCTTCTTCTTCTTCTTCTTCTTCTTCTTCTTGTCCTTGTTGTTATTGTTATTCTTGTTCTTGTTGTTTTTGTTCTTATTATTGATCTTGCTGTTCTAGTTGTTGTGTTAAAAATATTTAATATTATATATATTGTGATAAAAGTTATCAATGTAGTCCGGCAAAATATGTGGCAAAAATACAAAATATTGACTGACCGTGGTTATAGGTAGTGTAACGCCTAAGACTGCTTTATAAGGATTACCGACTGACCCCACAAACCAACACAGATCTTATCAAATCAAACACGCTTAATTGTAGAGTTCTTATGGAACGGGCTACCGAAAAGAAGATACATCTTGTTAGTATAGGTAGTACCAATTAATTCTTATAAGCCTTGCTTCAGCCATGCAGTCTCATACCTGCACAACCTTAGGATCCCTCTTATTCCGATGTGAATTCAATGTTTTCCTAGAAGCTGCTAGAAGTGTTTCATTGTCATGCCTCGTGCACCGACAACCACTCCTTCATCCTCGAGTGTTACATGTAACCACTCCCAACCGTCTTCGGCCTCTGGTGTTACATGTAGTGTGTTTTCCAATTTTCTACCACGGCCCCTAGATTATAGTTATACATAAACTACATACAATTACACTCTATCTAACGACAGTTATTCAACGGTCATTATAAGTCTTTCGCATTTATGATTATAAATGTTTTTTTCTAAGAGTGCATCCACCAACAGGTCAAATCTATAGCAGTAGATAATATTAAAGGGAAATGTGAAGACCTATACTCCAAGCATAAAAGGACAAATAACATGTTATTATGTCCACTTATTAAATAATTAAGCACACATAATACAAACGCAAACATATGCATGTGGAATCCAACCCTTGTGAACAAATATATATATATATTCAACAATAAGCATAAGTTCTCTAGTGTACATGACCTAATTTAACCATGGATCCAAGAATCTCCTTCTCCAATGATTTTGTTGTTAGCCAACAACAAGCAGTCAAACATGAAAACATATACAGAGAAGCTCCTGTCTCTTCGGATTTCGAATTCTCGGTCAAAAAGTATTCCATGATATCAGCAGATCAAGTCTTTTTTAAGGGTATGTTGTTGCCTGGTAATGAATGCTCCAAGAAGGTGACTTTAAGAGATGAGCTACTTAATGATGATGATTCACCAAAATGGTCAAAGAGTTTAAGCCGGTGGAAGGAACGATTAGGCCTAAAGAGAGGTTCATCTAAGAAAGATAAGAATAAGAATGATCATGATCATGGTTTTCTGCAAAGATCTGTAGTTAACCAAAAAGTGCCTGGTTTTGAACAAGGAGAAACAACTGTTAACAAAGACAATATGGTAAGGTTTTCATCTAAGTCTTTTTCGTTCCTTGCTAAGTTAGTTACTTAGGTTTTGTTTAGATTAACAACATAATTAAGCGCTCATATAACAAAAGAAAAAATAGAACCATAACCTGAAAAACTTATGAAAATAAGTTGAAAACAACTTACAGAAATATCATAATATAAGATCTCTAGAACAATCTCACAATATTTATGTCTCGTACATAAATTTAAATAAGTCAATCGAAATAGATTTTTATTATTTAAAGTAGAATTTCTCTTTACATTTTCATATGTTGACAGATTCATTTCTTGTGAATTATCACAGGAGTTGTTCTATGAAGGAGGTGTAAGTTTCAAAGGTAAGTGAAATCAAGAACAACAGCATCGTTTGTCTAGGAGGGATGATAATATGATATTAATATCTATCAAGTGTTAGAATTTTAGATGACTTAGTATTGAGCAAGTTAAATTTAACGTATGTAGTAGAAAGAAGTATTATTATTTTTGTACAAAAATTTGTAGTTGATGTAGTTCCACTTCCATGAGTCAGTGAGTATTTTAATGTGTGATGCGATGCATCAAGTAGAGATGGCTTTTGCTTAGAGATATAGTGAGTATAGCTAGTTGTTAATTGTTTCTGTAGGTTGTGAAAGAATCTCCATCTTGTACTTCTAATTAAGAAAGTTAATTATCCTTATATTCGTTGCTTTCATGTTATCTTAAGCAAGTTTTCTTCCCGTTTTGCTTTATTTTTTGGGAAGCGGAAACAAAAATGATGGGCTTATGAGAAAAATGCAACATGAATATTAAATCTGAATAATTTATAACTAGAATAGCAAACCAAATTTGTTGTTCAAATATGAACAAAAATGCAATATATATGTAGATTAGAATTACTTCGCCCTATGTCCCCATATCCAGTCCACTAGTTTGAGTGTAATTAAGAGTAGCAATTTTTTATAAAATAAAGATTGCATACATTTAAAAAATTATATATATATATATATATATATATATATATATATATATATATATATATATATATATATATATATATATATATATATATATATATATATATATATATATATATATATATATATATATATATATATATATATATATATATATATATATATATATATATATATATATATATATATATATATATATATATATAATTTTTAAATGTCTGCACTCTTTATTTTATGACTTATTCCACAATCATAATCTTTAATTTAAATTTAATTGAATGGTTATAAGTAAAAATGTTAATTTAACCACTAGATTAGATTCAATTTAAAGAATATAAAGTAGAGTAAGTTAAATAGTGTGGATCAACATACTCTAAATCATAGCCTTTGAAGTGAATGTAATCTAATAGTTAAATTAATCTTTTACTTAATTAACCATTAGATTGAATTAAATCCAAAGATTATAATTAGGAGTAAGTTTTAAAAACATACAGTTGATCCCCGCTTTTATATATATATATATATATATATATATATATATATATATATATATATATATATATATATATATATATATATATATATATATATATATATATATATATATATATATATATATATATATATATATATAAGTTGAAAAAAAGTAGAACACAAAGATACTGATAATACGTAGTTGATAGAAACTCTTATAAAAATTAAGATAAAATAGAGGTGATGTTATAAAGTATGTGTGTATATATATATATATATATATATATATATATATATATATATATATATATATATATATATATATATATATATATATATATATATATATATATATATATATATATATATATATATATATATATATATATATATATATATATATATATATATATATATATATATATATATATATATATATATATATATATATATATATATATATATATATCGTTAAAAGTGATTTTGGAAATTCAAGTGTTGTAATCGATTAACATAGGGATGTAATTGGTTATAGCAAGACAAAAGCACTTATGGACGGAAGAACATGATAAAACATCGAAATTGTAACCGATTAACACCTAAGTATAACTGGTTACCACTGAAATAAGAATTATTTTTATGTTAGTTGTGATTGGTTACAGGTTTGGTGCAATCGGTTACAAGTTTGGTGTAATCTGTTACAGACATGTGTTCTTGTGTTTTTCAGTTGTGTACTTGTATACTTTGAGTCCAAATCATTTTGTAACACTTGTATAAATGCTTTGGAGACATTCTCATCTCATGCTAATGATAATATTCTTCTCACTCTCAACTCTCTCTCTCTCTCTCACACACACACACACACATACGCACACACACACAATTTTCCTCGTTCGCTCTCCATATATCAATATTCTCCATCATTGTCCACCAATCTTGTGGTTTAAAGTTCCAACATTTAGCATCAAGAGCCTGGTTCTGATCCACAAACACCTAGTTTGCAACATGAATTTTATCTCCAATAAAAGAATTCCTGCAAACCTACCCATCTTTGATGCGAATAATTACGAAAAATGGTACAAGCAAATGAAAGTATTGTTTGGCTACCAAGATGTTCTTGAAGTGATCAAGAACGGGGTGAATCCTCTTGTCAGATGTGTAATGGCTGCACAACCACTATGTCAAAAAAGACCTTTAGCAACGCTTTTTTTGGCCTTTAGCAGCGCTTAAAAGCGCTGCCTAAAGTGGCGCTGCTGTAGGTAAAAGCAACGCTTTTTTTAAGTAAAAAGCGCTGCTATAGACCCCTTTTTAGCAGCGCTTTTCTAGAAAAGCGCTTCCCCCCCCCCCCCCCTTTTTAGCAGTGCTCTCTAAAGTATATTTTCTTAAGACATTTAGCAGCTCTTTTTCATTAAAAGCGCTATCTTTTTCCCCCTTTTACCAGCGCTTTTAAAATCGCTCTCTAAAGTATATTTGCTGAAGACATTTAGCAGCGTTTTTCTTAAGAAAAGTACTCTCTTCCCCCCCCCCCCCCCCTTTTAGCAGCGCTTTTAAAAGCTTTTTTTTCCCCCCTTTTAGCAGCGCTTTTAAAAGCTCTCTTTTCCCCCCTTTTAGCAGCGCTTTTAAAAGCTCTCTTTTCCTCCCTTTTAGTAGCGCTTTTAAAAGCTTTTTTCCCACCTTTTAGCAGCGTTTTTTCAAGAAAAGCATTGCCTTTTCTACACATCATTGAATTTTTTTCTTTTAAAATATCACTTTTTCTTAGCGTTTTTTAGTAAAAGCGCTGTCTATTGTGCATATTTTTATAAAGTTCTATTTGTTGAATGCTGTTGCGCAATTCTTTATAATTTATCACATAAACCTGCTTATAATAATTATATTCAACACAAGTCTTTATTTCAACACTTAGGCCTTATATATACCATAACAATTCAACACATAAACCTGCTTATAATCATTGTAATTCATCACAAGCCTTTATTTCAACACATAGGTCTTATATATATATATATATATATATATATATATATATATATATATATATATATATATATATATATATATATATATATATATATATATATATATATATATATATATATATATATATATATATAGTTCAACGGAAACGATCCATAATTCTAATATATATTCCAAAACCGATAACTTCACAGATATATTCATTATACATATAATTACAAATTCCATATTCTCGGATCCTCACAACAACTTCTAGAAGTATATCAACAAATTCCAAAACTATATACGACTTCCAGAACTATAATTATCCAGTAGTATGTACATAACATCACAACAACACAAATCTCTAAAGACCATAAACTCCGATCAAAAGACAGAAAGATAATATATATACCTTATATAATTCTCATCTCAAGAATGTATTGACATCATTCCTCCTTAATTTCTTCCAATTTATCTTTCGAGTAAGTACCACAGTTGAATTCATCAAAGTACTACATAATATAACATAAAATGCATGATTTAGTTAAAACTAATTACTCAGATGAAATATCGGTTAAATATTAAAATAAATCATATAACTTATAAATTCATACCATGTTTGGAATCTCTATTTGACCCAAATGAATAATTTCCTTCATAAACCTCAATACAAAATAACCACAATCAATACCATTGTGCTGACGAGAACACTATACATGAAAAAAAACGAATATATATCAGGATATATAGTTTAACTAGTTTTATCAAGTAGAATCACTATAACAATCAAAGTTGTGAAAATATACCTGCACTCTGATCCATCTAATGTTGTTAGCCTTACTCTTTGGTACTCTTACTTGTCTTTGTGATTGGAATATTTGTATAACTCTAACATAATATAAACGAATATTTAGAACAATCTTACATAATAAATGAAGATAATTATTCAGAACAATCTCATCACTTACGTATCAACCATCTTCTTCATATCTAGATATTTTGTTTAATCACCATCCAATGAATTCAGATAATACACTATTTCTTTTATTGGATTAATCGTAACCAACAAACAGTGTTTACTGTAAAATAAGACAAAAGTTTAGATGGAAATGTTATATAGAATGTCAAAAAACGAATAATTATAATAAATGAAATTAGAAAGAAATCTAACTCATGGCCAGTATTATATGGCAAAAAAATACAACTTTTATGTATCTGCGTCCATAAATGCTTGGACTAAGTAATCTCTGACTACATCTGGAGTGTGATCGATTAACCGTGCGTTGATACAGCTAGAAGATAAGAATGAGAATTTTTCTGTCAATTGATGCGGGACCAACAACTTGTCACACAAGAACCTTAAATAAAAACATAATCAACATTAGAATATATTCATTGAAATGAACAAATAAATTTCTTAATTATTTAATTAAAATTGATTGGAGCACCTGATGTATGAATGTATAACACTGATGCCTAATTCAAAATGTTGGAAAATCTGATTCAAATCCTCTTTAGCAATTGTTTCGGCATAAGCAAAACTGAAAATACCTTCATCCATAGGTATTTGACGAATGCCACCCTCCCCCACATCTGTTGTTCCTACATATGTTTCAAGGCACAACCTAAGTCGAGGAACAAATGCTTTTTTAGGTTCGGCCCTTTTTTTGTTGGACATCTTGCTAGATTCAAGCATCTTACCCTTGCTGACTTGTTGCATCTCTTGAGCATGAATCTAAAAATCATATAAGTTAGGTAATTAATGTATAAGATCATAAAGCTATTGAAATCAGATGATATAATTGACATTTTCTATGCATATATATATATATATATATATATATATATATATATATATATATATATATATATATATATATATATATATATATATATATATATATATATATATATATATATATATATATATATATATATATATATATATATATATATATATATA